ACTCTATACTCAACATTTAATCGATTGCTAAATTAGTTGACGATTCTATCAACAACCGATTAATCACGATTAATCTGATTAATTGTTTCAGCCCTGAACAAAACAACAATAAAGCATCTCAAATCATGATTTCACATTTATCCACTAATTAACCAACACTAAAATCCTTTGTATAACATAAAAATTGATCAAAGAAAAAGTAACAAAGACATGAGAAATGGTCCTGATCCTGGAAAATGATGCCACTACAATGATGGGTGACAAGCGGTCACTGTACCTCTACCTTTGCCTACTGGACAATTTAAAGCATTGGATTTATGACGTCTAAACAATATTTGACTTTAGTATGTGGAATATTAGTAACTTTCTGCAAGGGCAGATTTTTAACAACCCTTGTTGCATAGAAAAAATTTTAATACAGTATCTGTTAAACATTTTCAGAATTTATCTCACTATGTTTTTATGCAATCTTTGTATTTTCCCATATAAGACATAGCTCTGAAATGAAAAACTGGACACCGTCTTTATAGTTTTTTTCTTATGTTTACACATAAAAGACATAATACGAAGGAAAAGCATGAGATGGAATAACAGTTAAAGCTGGGAGTCCTCTGCAGGAATAAAATCATGCCCATACTGATGCAGATGCATAAGATACCAGATGCAGTGACGTTTGTTTTTTATCACACATTGCATCCATTTTGATCTCACATATCATTTACTTCTATAATTGTTCTTTACTTACTAGGTTTATACTGAACAGCAGACACAAAGAAGCAGATGCTGTGACTTTTTATCGTGCATTTTTTTCTTCTTTTTTTTTTTAAGTACACTAAGGCAAGAATCATAATATGCAAAACTGTCATATTGACAAATTCTCTCACCTGAGCTGTGAATTTCTGCAGGTTTCTCAGTTACCATAGAAGCTGCTCCTCTCATTTGTGTTCTCTACTAGTTGAGAATCAGTTCTGTTTTGACCCTGCCAGAAATATAACAGCATGATCTTTTTACTAAAATACTCTCATAAAAGTGTTTACAAAACATGGAGATAGTTGTCACTGGTGTAAAAAATTCACAAGAATCTCAACACTCACTCACAAGAGGAACACTGATCTTAATGTATTGTTTATGCTGCATTAATGAAGGTAGATATTTGGTTGTTGGTATGAAGCATTAGCCCGCTGTGTTACGCAGCTCATTCCATTAATCAGATGCAACATACTTTGATGAGACACTACTAAGAGAGATATAGACCGATTGTATGAGTGTTGTGATCCAGGGTTTAAAGCACAAATTGCAAATTTTGAAAAGTTAAACGCTGAGAAACTGTAAACAGTTTTATGGATGGAGGATTTCTCCATCCAGCCTAAATTTTTAGGTTACTGGCCATTGCTTGATAGGTTGTAAGTTTTGCCTTACATTTTCCATTTTCAGCTGAAGGATTGAGTACTGAGAGATAATCAAAAACTGTAAAAAAAACAAAAACCTGCATGAAACTCTTCCACAACAATAATCTGTTGGGTATTAGCAATTTAGAGCTACATTCAGGCCAGGATTTATCACTGCCCACAGGTTGAGAAACTAGGTAATCTTTGAAGACAGTGGCAACTGGATTTTTCTCAGGTGTAAATGCAAAACATGCTCTTAGATTTTTGCCTATTAAATTAAAAGCATAATATAATTTTCATTCTTCCACTCGCTAGTCCATCATTTAGTAGCTTTTTATTTTGACAAAAGAAAAGAAAATAATAGATAAATGGCCTTTCCAAGGGGCCTTTTCTAAAATGGCAGATCTTATATACTGAGAACACTTTATTGGTATGTATTGAAACCAATATTACTTGAATAGGCCATAAAAGCATTTAAGCCCTCCCTCCCCCTTCTGCATATAAAATGAAGGACGACCTACGACTGATAAATGCAAAACTGATTATAAATAAGTGCCTCATTGGAGCAGAACTGCATGTTAACAGCAAGTAACATCTAACTTGACATCTCAGTTGTGTTTGGCCCTGCTGTACAGTATTTGAAGGCCCCCCAAGTCTCAAATCCATTTTTATTTTTGCTGTATTGACTTTTTCTTCCTCCAGCCAAAGACATAATGAAGGCTTCCTGCAGCTGCTCTGACCTGCTTCTGTACTGTATATGCAGACAAAATGCAGCTGAAGGAAAAGGCCATTGTTTATCACCACAATTTCTGCTTCCGAAGCACGGATTCCACAGAAAAAATGTTTTATTTTTTAGGGGAAGGGAAAGCCTTAATAGGCGTTATAGCAGAGGTCTTAACCTGGAGCCAAAATGTTTTGTCACCGACCGTAAAACATGCAGTTATGTTTATCCTCATATTGCCCTGGTCGTTAATCTAAGAAAAGAGTCATAGAGTCGCTGTTTGTTCATTAGAGGAGGTTTGTTCATTTCTGGTTAACATTGCTGCTGTGTTCCACAGACAGCTGCCACCTAAGCATTAGCAGTCTGACAGCGTTCCCACAGCGTGTCTGCTATGGATCTAAACTTTTATTTCCCAGGTCAGGGAGTGTGACATTCACGGAAGCCGAATGTTTCTCAACATTACACCGCTCAATAATTAATAATCGCTCTCCCAGGTGAATCCAAATACTTATATGTTGAAGTTGCAGAGGCAAGGCACAGGGCCAAAGCAACCCGTAAGCCTTTTCTCTTACAGAGGCCTCACCTTTTGTAGCTGTTGCTTTTCTTCTTTTGTGGCCCACGGTGCTTCCATTAAAAGAGGAGTTATTTTGAGCTGTAAGAAATTCAAATGAGTCCCCCATGAGCGAACTTTTCCACAGCATCCAGACCTTTGAGATTAGACCACCATCTTTAAAGCACAGGGGTACAGGATAACAAACGCTGTGTTTGAAGTGCTCCTTGGAGGGTGCACCACCACAAGTTGCTCAGGACACACACAGTCACATCCCCACTTAGTTTTTTTAGTGTTGACCGTGGCTTAATTAAAGCACAAATGTATGGTATGTGTTTTAAGCTCCTGCGAGTTGTGTGTTTATATGATGGTGAGTTATAATCCGCGTCTGCATGAATATGTAGTGGAACACCATGAATATTTATACTGTCAATATAATTAGTGATGTAGACTAATGGAGGCCATGTTTTGCACTTGAAGCCATGCCAGTTTTTGTGGTTGTTTATTTCCTGGCTTGTTGTCCCCACAGCAGTGCTAAATAAAGAGCATCATTATTCCCCAAACATCATAAATTTACCAGCTCTTGCACCAGAAGTATGACCGTTCTACTTGCTTTTTATATATAGACTGTTTTTAGCTTAACCAATGAACAAAACCAGCCATTTTTATCTACCTTCCTTGTAAAGATAAGGAAAAGGCCTTTGAATTGCTTCAGATTTTAATGTAAATTTCACACACACAAAAAAATGCTTTAATCTAGCGGCTATTCATCAGTAAAAAGTCACCCAGTTGGAAATGACCTTTTCTTTAATTATAACTGGTTGTACTTGCATCCCTAACAATTGTTTGAAAATAGATGTAACTGAAGCATTATTTTTAATGTGTACTTTACTTACCAGGACATTCTATTTCCCTGGTGTATGCATATAAACTGGCACAGCAACCTATTTTTTTCAGCCACTGGACACAAGGCAAGACAAGAACCCATTTTTATTTTGCCATCAAGCACTCTTAGGGTACAGCAGGTAAAACGATCACAAAGTCTCACTTTTACTTTATTTTTTTATAGAGATGTGGGGTCACAGAGTTTCTATAAAAGCTGTTAGCTGCTGTTAGCCGGATGGCAAATGCTTGTTTGGGAAGCTGTAAGGAACAATGCTTTTCTTTGTTAAACTTTTCTTTGTGGTTGATGTAAGCTAGTGTAAGCTCTGCTCAGACTTATACTCAAGTTGGGCTCAGGTCTTTCAGGTGTATCTTTTCTGCAACAAGGACTACAGCTGTGCTTAATGTGGAAAAACTAATCAGCGGAAAATAGGCATGGTCATTTTTTCTTTGTATTTATCTTTATCATTTTTGTATTTGAGGTGGCCTATTTCATATTGGTAAATATATATATTTTAGATTAGTATTTGTGCTTTGAGTGCTTTTTGTTCCATTTACATCTCGTAACAACATTTTCATTTATTTTAAATCACATAGAACACCACAGGATTTTTTTAGATAACTTTATCAACACTTTTATCTCTATGATGCATTAATAAGACATCATGATGGTCACCTTTTAGTGAAAAAAAACACCACATACATTGAGATTCTAAAACGCTGCAGGCCTCTCTCTCTTCCTGATCTGGTCAACTTGATGTAGTTCATGTTTAGAAGACTTTAAAGAAAAACAAGGTGAACTTTAACAGTAAACTAAAAGTGGGTAATTACTGTGTCTTAAAGCAGGATAATGATTCAGAGCATATGGCCAAATAACTACAGAAATGATTCACCAGAAAGGTAATCAACCCTCTTCATAAGCCCCACAGCCATGCACTATTGTAAACATATGAGATGGACTAAAGCACAGATAAACGACCCCGATAATATGAATGTTAATAAGTTCCTCTTTCTCTTAAATACATCCTTCTGCAGAAAAAAAAGTGGCTCTTCTATATATAAAGTTTGGCAGCGACCGTACCAGTAGCTCTAATAGTTGACATTCACCTTTTAACTACTGCTTTATTTCTTAAAGATGTAGTTTTTCTTCCACTAAATTAATTAACCTAAATAAGAAGGGTTTTTTTCAGTTTCGGATTATACTGCGGAAAATATGGATATAGATAAATATGAATATACAATTAAACTTTCCTCCAATCATCACCAGGTTTGTGTCATTAAACATGGACGACACCGTATAATATGTTTATTTGTGTTGACAGTTGTTAATTTCTAATTAAGGATTTTTTTTTTCACTTTACTGCCTTAAAGCAGGCAGTAGAAATCTATTTAGATTTAGCATTAAAGTGAAAATTCACTTTAAATCTTAATTTCTTTTTTTTGTTTTTTCTATGTGCAGTATTTGTCCAAGCCAACAAGCTGCAGCAGCACATTTTTTCTGCCCACGGCCAGGAGGATAAGATCTACGACTGCTCGCAGTGCCCGCAGAAGTTCTTCTTTCAGACAGAGTTACAGGTAAGAATTCAAGTCCAGGTATATCCAGCACAGAATGACCATGAGGTTGACAAACACTGAACATAGGGATTCCACTATCTCTCTCCATCCCGGCTGGGACAGGCGACTCAGAAGGAATTATTTCAGGCTGTTTCCAAAACTCATTTGTGATGTGCAGATATGATTTGATTTGCTTATTAGACCAGCCGAGCGCTAAAATATCTGGAATTAGAGGATTAGCGGAATACTCATTTTTGAAGAGGTAATTACATACAGTGCAGAGGCAAAAACACGGCTGAGTCAATATGCCTGCATCTCCTCTCCTAATCACAAAGGAGGCCTCGTGGCTAAATATGAGCTCTGTCCATAGGGAGTCCATATCTGCCCTTCAACAAAGTTACTAGTTGGACTTATGAACTCGCAATGTTAGAGAGATAATCCATTTTCTAGCAATCTTTTCCTCTGCTCCTTGGAGAATCTGAAAAAATGAAGCAGACCTTATTATATTATTTCACTGTGGTGGTGTTTTCGAGCCGCTCTGTTTTGTTTGGGGGATTCTCTATCGTACACACGGCACACTTCTCATATCCAGATCTCTTTCTATTACCTTTTTGAAGCCGAAACGCTAAACTATAAGTAAGCCTATAATTGCAGTGCTAAGAAAATGCTAGAAAAAAGTACATTTTATTTACTTTAATGCGGTAAAAGTAGCAAACAGCTCCTCCTTTTGCATTGACCTGGATCTTGGATTATACGGTGTTGTGAGGTAGCTTGTAGCCAGAGGAAGTGGCCATTGATTGGGAGTGATTTTCATATTAAGATTCAGGTTGTAAACACAGAGGCGTGCGTCTGCCAGGAGGAAGGTGAATGTGATCATTATCTGCTGGCCATTCCAGCAGCGGGAACATGAATAAAACAAGTCCTGATTCGCCAGCACGGAACTCTGCAGCAAAAAAGTTTACATGAAAAGCCTCAAAAGCAGTAACTCCAATGCTTTCCGTTCACATCAAGCTCCCTTAATTTGTCACATTTTAATTTCTCACTGGTACAAGTGTTTTCTATACGGTACGGCTTGCAAGAGATACCTGTAAACAATTTCAAATAACCTGGGGATGTTTTCCTACTTTTTTTATCTTTGACATTTTCCGGAATGAAGTGATCTCCACCTCCCGGAGGTGATGTTTCATGCATGATTATATTGTTTTACTGCGTGTGAAAAGACAAGTGCAGTACATGAAAGACCTATAGCATTCTGCTGTGAAACAGGAGGTTATGAAAGGAGAGCAAGAATGAGCTTGGGGGACAAGACAATCATTATCCTCAACCTGTTCTGTGCTCTACTGACAGTCCCATGTGAGTGCATGATGACATGATCTCAAACACATGTGCTCTTCATATATATACATGTGTTGTTTCTTATAAATGCTAAGAGTTAAAGGAAATGAAATGTGTCACACGATGCCCTTTCAGAGTTTTTGCGTTAACATTAAAACAATGTCAGAACCTTTGTTCTTTTCTCTCATGTTATAAACACACATTTCTAAATATTTCTTTTTGATTTATATTTGATATAGCAACCCAAAATATTGGGATTACTTTGAAGTGGAAACATGTATACAATTTTGGAAATTATTTTTGCAAATAAAATTCTGGCAAATGAATGATATTTATTTGTATTCAACTGACTATAATCTGATACCCCTTAATGAAACCCAGTCCAAAAAAACACAGGTTTCTCCTCATTATCCATGGAGCGAATAGAGTCCACCTTTATGCAATTTAGACTCAGTATACAGAAGTTTTGAGTCAGAGGTTTTGTAATTTAAGAAAATGAAAGAAAACAATACATGGATTTTATTAAGTTTAAAACGGGCTTCGTTTACAGAACTTTCAAAGGATCAAATATCCCAATGGCAACTTTCTAATCATATTCCATTTTATTACTGAAAAGCTGCCAAAATATGTCCACTCACCTGATCTAACAGTCCAGAAAGAAAGCACGGTGCTTTTCTGGACATGCATTAAGGGTCTATATTTTGGGGAAATTACTCTGTTTGCAACAATTACTCAACATATATGATCAGGTTTTAAACCTTTTCTGATTTTGGAAAGAATAAAACCATTAGAAGTCTAGCTTAAAGCCATAGAATTACTCAGTAAGTATTGCAAAGAAAGTCTCTGATGATTAGGGATGTCTTGATACAACTTTGTAATTCCCTGTACAATGCAAACAGTGCAGCATTGAGTATTGACCTAATAAGATATTACCAAGAATTGAACACACTTTTATTACTAAATTTTTAATGAGGAATGTTAGAAAAGGTTTAAATTATTCAAACAAAGAAGAGTAGATAATAGGTAAGAAATTAGTTACGTAAACTCTGGGGTGGGTCAATTCTCCTATAGTACACCTATAGTGCACTGACTGTAGAGCGGATGTCACTTTCAACATACATCCTATAATAGTTGGGATTTAATCTTTTTTTTTTTTTTTGAATGACCCTGTAAAACTTAAGATTAATTGCAAGACATAAATATTTGTACATGGAGGCATTTTGTCAAATCGATAGGATTCCCATGGCGATTGTGGGAGCATGATGATTTGGGATGCTTTTATCCCCATTACCTTTGATGTGGTTGTAGGAAAAGGTGTCTCTACAAAGTACTGATGCCGGGTGTTAAATTCACCATCTTTTTGTGGTTTATACTTGTGAGAAGCTGTAAAGTAATGGATTTATATTTTTTCCAACTTACAACCACTACTTGTTGTAACTTGACAAAACATGAAACATTTAATGGTGTATAATTAGCTTTGTGAGGCAGTACAAATGCTCTTTTTTCTGAGTTTATGACTTTTTTATGGACTAAAGGAGAAGACTAAAGGATATTCAGATTTCAAACTTCTGAAAATACTTTAAATATAAAATTATTACATGCTATTCCAAAATGTATAAGTGTTTTTAATTAAGAGTAAATTAATAAAGACATTCATGTTTGTCAAAGAACTACTGCCACCTAGACGGTTTGTGACGTCACTTTGCGGTATCGGCTGTTGAGCAAGTCCCAGTGCTGTATCTGGTGTTTGTCACTACGAGCTATTGTCCAAATCCTCTTGAAAACATTCTTCTTTGAAATGTTGCCTACATATTACATGTTTTTTCTCTGGCCAGAAGTTTGATGGCAAATCCCCCCTCTTCAAGTCAGCAATCCAATGACTAACCCATCCGTGGTGAAACATGAATCGGAAAGGTGAAATAACAAAATTATTTTCACTTTTACCCAATGTTTTACAACATCCAACTGCCATGCACGTGGGCATTGTCAGTTTAACTATAGCTCTCTCGGATTTCAATGATGAAGTCCTCTCGAAATCTTATATAATTGTTGTTGATTTGTAGTTCCCATTGATTTTGCTTGTAAAGCGGGGAGAATGACGCTAGGCTTATTACACTGTGACGACACTGTCGGAAGATGTCGGGAGTGAGGTGTTACTACATTTGGCTGGTACTGGACTCAGTGATCACAACGAAAAATATTATTATGTTTTTACTGATTAACGCTAAATTCATTAAATCACTGCAAATGTATTCATTTTATGTATAAATAATGATCCATTGATTATTCCTTGCTGACCGGACTTTTCCTTTAAATATACATGCAAGGTTAAAACTTTAAAACATTTCCCAACCATTACCCCTCAAGACATCTACTTGATATGGCTGCTTTTTTGTCAGTCTCTCTGAACAGAAAGTTTCTTCAAGCAGTAAGAGAATCCTGTCTTTGCTTGGGCCTGAGTTTGGAGTCTCTTCCTGATCCTCTCTGACTCGCTGGCCCACTTGCTGGCTACCTGAGAACCCTCATATCTCACAGTAGTGGGAAGGGTCAAAGGGCTGGTGCAAGCTGGGGAGAGGAAACAGCAAGGAAACAGAGAGCTGCCATGGCAGGTAAAGGAAAGCAGGGAAGATATTTTATTAATTTGCAGCTGGGATCCTGAAACAGACCAAAGGCTGTGACAGGTATCCAGTGCACCACTCCGCATCCTCCCCCCATGAACTCTACACTGCGAGGGGCTAGCCAATTTTCACCATCCTGTCGAGATGGATGATGGGAGAGCATCCGTCTAATCAGCCCTCCCAGGACCCCCCGCCCAGCTGCCCCCCTCAGACTGACCAGATTGACTCACTCCTGGGTCTGCGTGCCCCAGAATTCAGAGTCCAGTGGAGAAAATCTCTCTTCCTCCTCTTTTCTATTTCCTGGATTTCTCTCTGTTGCCTTTTTTACCCCAACAAAAAATAAGCAGTGAGATGCGCATACTGTTGTACTACTCCACCTTAAACTCTGCAGGCAGCTCTCCTTTAGTATTTCACACCCTTGTGCGGCCTCAACTTTGCTCATCTCTGTCTTTCACCCTATTAAAGTAAAATATGAAGTGAATTGTAGTCATTTCATTTTCAGCTGATTTTAGGGCATTTCAGCTTCTCAAACAATGTCTTGCTGACCTCTGATTCTTGTCCACCTCTTAAGTCACAGTATATCCTCTTACCCAATCTCCCTATGTTCCCTCCTGTCCTGCATAATAAACGTCTGAATGGCTTTTCTAATGAATACAATGTAAAATTTCCCTTTATTAGTTTTAGATGCTGTTGAATTTAAGGTGGCCTCAAGGAATAGATCAACCAACGTTTGTCCCTGGATGTATTAATTAACCAGATTTGTTAACTGATAGATGCACAGTCTTGGCCACAACTTTATTCAGGTATTTCTATAAGTGCAGCTCACTGGTATGTGTGTGAAAAATCCACATTTGTTGTACTCCAGTCTTGCAGAAACTACCCAATGTCTGCAATCGGGAGGATCATTTTAAAATGTTACTCCAAAGAAGAGACAAGAAGTTGCACAACAGCATTGGCAACATTTTCAGCTTAAAATTCCCTCGTTCCTTTTGGGTTGCTGCATATTTTATCCGTCTGTCATCCGATTTCCCTGTATTCTTGGAAGCCGCACAGGATTGTAAGTCATGA